AATCCCTCTAAACTCATTGTTTTGTTAGGAAATGGCCTAATGATTGGAGTTTTAAGCCAATCCTCTTGAATTTTTAGTGCTGCTTTAGGTGCGTTGCTTCTAAACCTAATTTAAAATCCGTATGCGGATTAGTGAAAAAAATAGCAGCGACTGACTTGCGCTTTAATTTTTAATTCAGCTATTCTTTATCGCTAGATTCGATCGTCGAAAATTAAGTCCGGAAAACTGAAATCTTACGAGGAATGGGATAAGTAAGCATTTTATGCGACTTGCTGGAAATTTACAAGAAATGAAACGAGTTTGCTTTGCTGTTAAAGTTAACTTCATGATGCGAAATGCTATCAAGCGTCATAGTTACGCAGTCTGTAGTGAAGTTCGTTGTAAATTCTTCTATCAGCTTAGCCAACCCTTGGTCAAATGGTGCTAGCAGATCTTTAGGCTCAAAAATCACTTGGGAGGTAACATTTATAAGGATATGAACGGTACATTTTTAAAACTCCATAATGCGGTTTTCTTGTTCACCCCATCGAAGGATAGGGAAGGAGCTTGAAAAGGAGTTAGAGATGGAAGAGCAGAATGGCGAAGGGGGCGATAAAACTGGTGTTTCTGGTACCGAAGGCGGCGTGGATGAACATAACGATGGGGCTGAGAATACAGTAAAGTCTATGTGTAGGGAGCTTTCCAAACGGATATACAACATGCCCCAACAGATTCGAGCTGTCCACGCTCAACGGGAGAAGGAGAAGGGAAATGAGGTTTGCACAAATTGATCTTTTCATTATTTCTGTGCATGACTAGAGAACAACTGAGACAAAACACGGCCTCCTTCTCAATTTGACATCCATTTTGTTTCCGCTACTTCGGTTGGTCAGTCTTCCTATAAATCCAACGTTGGAAGATTGGGCGTCATCTAGCAAGCTTAATTTTGGTTTCAGTGGTTCATCACTGGGATTATACGTTACACTTTCATGTAACCTGATTTACAAAGCACAGCAATTGTTTTATGGGGCTTTGTGTACCTCCAAACACTAAATGCATGCAAAGAACTTCCACTTAAGACACCCAAGAGATCTGAACGTATAAACATCTACGTGGAAGCATGGCCTTAAGTAAGGGCGCAGTCAAAATGAAGTCGCTTGCTCTTAATTCAGATGTACGGAGGCACTTAAAGGTCTCAATTAGTTGGAAAAGTATTATAATATCCCATGAATACTTTCAACAATAACTGATTCTAGCTTGGTTGTCTCTATGACTTATTAAACGTTGCATACCATCAATACAGGCGC